TTATGTCGCTTTGGTTTCTTTTGAGACCAAACTTTCTTTTGAGACCAAAAATTCCCAGCAAGGAAACAAGTCGGTCTGATCCTAGCATTTTATTTATTACCTTGTCTTAAAATACCATTATTGATTGGCTCCTTTTAATATGTTTTAATAATCCTTGGTTAAATTTATGTGTATCTAATGTAAATAGCTAAGTTACTAAGTATTTTAATGCAGGAGGAAGGAAAGGCTTTTATTTTTACAGAATTAACTAAAATGGAAAAGTATGACTTTTAGTAGAAGGATTCATTTAAAAATCTGAGGTATTTAAGGATCTGGTCCTTGTAGCTATCCCATCTTAACTATAATTGTTATATATTGAATGCATATTAAGAATTACTCTCTGGGACACCTGGACTTGCCATTGCATCAAAATGAGACAGTGTTGAAAAGTAGAATTATTTTCTTGAATGAAAATATATTCAAGTTGATCCATATTCAAATATTTTAATACTTAAAAATTTGTTCTTTTTCCAGATTTGTTTAAAATTGTTACAAATGTTAGTGTTTCCTTTTGGATTGTGCTTTTGTGTTTGTGTCATGAGTCAATTGAGAAAAGTAGGCAAATAATGTTAAAGTTGTTACTGCCACAGCATGAATGTACAACTGTATTAAATTTAATTCACAGAAGTCTATTTGGATGTGTGCTGTATGTTAACTAGATTTGTTTAAAACTTTAGATTGTTATTTAGAAAGAAGCTATTTCTCTCCGCTTTGCCAGTTTGGATTTGTTTTCATTAATGTCTCTAATTTTTCATACAAGCAACTTTGAAACCTTTCCTATATAAATACATCTTTCCTTTAAATTGCTCTACAAAAATTAGCATTATTTCCTTATGCTGGATTTCCTAGAGAACAAAATCTCTCAAAAATAAGTACTTCCTTTTCTGAGCTAATCACCCCAGGTACTGTATTTCTTTAGCTGTTATTGAGGGACCTGGTTAAAATGTGGTGTGATCTGTTTTTCATTTCATTCGTGCAATATCTAAGCCCCATCGAGGATAAAGAAGGTTTAGACACAGGATACATACAGTGTAGACAAAACAGTCCCAGCATGTGAGTAAGATTGAAGAGTAATGCATGAAACAAAAGATACTATTCTTAAAAGAGCTATTATTCTGTTACACTTCATTTAAGGGCTTTTAAGAGAAACCTGCTTTAGAGGGTAAGACCTCTGTGAATCCAGGTTGCTCTTTATAAAAGCATAAAGGCCAAGGATCTCTTAGTGGTAGAGACAGCCAGTCACTTAGGATGGCCATTTTAGTATTCCATTTAATGGAACTTGAAAAAATAGAATATAACTTCAGTGTATGGAAGACACCCAAATAGCCATGGCCTGTATGTGTCAAAAAAGACTGTTAGGTAACAGCGGCAGAGATGCGTGAGTGCCCACCTGTCTTAGTTCCTCCTCTTTTTCAGCACAGGGGGCAGGACTCAGAACAGCACAGTTCCAGTTCCAGCTAGATGTGCATCGCTGCTGCTTACATTTTGGGGGGTGGTCAGCTTATAAACAGATTCAACCTTGATGTCTGTTGGTGAATTTAGATGAGTGAGGAAAGCCTCATTACTAAGGTTCTTTTCAAATGTTCACATAGCTGCTGTTCAGAAGGAAGGAAAGATAGGGAAAAAGCCATGTTGACCTATAGTTCCCCTTGTTTGATATTTCATCAGTGACAAGTTTGAAGTTACTGAATAATTAGAATTCAAATGTAATTATGTGCCAAGACAAATACTATTGTTTGTGACAAGATGATTACAGTCTTCACCTGAGGTATTTTTAAATTTTATTTTGAAATAGTAATATACACCAGGGCAAAAAAAAAAAATTTAGATAATAACTGCAAATTCCAGTCTGCCCATCTTGTATAACCTCAGAGGTGATCACTGGTTTCCTGCGTATCCTTGCAGACTTGGGGCTTCCCACGTGGCTCAGCAGTAAAGAACCTGCCTGCCATGCAGGAGATAGAAGACACAGGTTCCATCCCCCCAGAGGAAGAAATAGCAACCCCACTCCAGTATTCTTGCTTGGGAAATCTCACGGACAGAGGATCCTGGCTGGTTACAGTCCATGGGGTTGAAAAAGGGTTGGACTTGACTTAGCAACTACACACACACACACACACACACACACACACACACAATGTTTACATACAGCACACGTTTCTTTTATACAAATGGTATCATACTGTACCCGTTGTTTCAAACTTTTCCCATTTAATTACCTTGGGAAAATACCTTGCCAGTACATACATATACCTGTGTCGTTCTTAACTGCATAGTATTTCACTTAGTCTTTCTTTGTATTCCTTGCCTATTTAGCAAGCAATGCAGTGAGAAGTTTTGCTGGCAGAGGAAAAAAATTCCTATATGCCCCTTGAACTGTAACCAAAGAATAACTGTATAATGTATTCCTAAGTATTTGAGATGAGCTGCACCTAAGAGAGAAAGAATGGAGAATTACTAATCTGGTCTCCACAACCATAATTTCAATTTCTGTCACCCAGCTGTGTGAGCCAGAAAATGATTTAAGCAATCTGGATCGACTGGATGATTTCTAAGATCCCTTTCAGCAACAAAACTCTAAGATTTGGAATTCCTGAGAAGTTGTAACATACTGTGTAATAGTTTACATATTAAAAAACATCTCCTTTGGTCTCAACCAGGTAGGCAAAAAAGATTAAAGTACTTTGCATTTAAATAAAAGACATCAAAAATTATGACCAGGAAAATAATTTTAAAGCATCCTAAAGGATTCATCTCTAGATATTACAATTTAATGTTGCAATAGGAACCACCTCAAATCTCTCAGCAAAGGAATATAATTAAATGGGAGCCAGCACCAGCCATCAACTATGTGCCTGCCCTTGAGCTATCCCCTTTATTTTTGTAGTAACCTTATAAAGTTCAAGTTTTACTTTAAAGATGAGGAAAGCTTCTTAAAGAATTATACAGTTTGCCTAAGGTCATCCAGTTTACTTTCCAAGTAAAGTGAATTAAAATGAATATTCATTAGGCAAATTGTAAATGATTATGGACACAGGTATTTTGTTCTGATTCTCTTATTGGCTAACAAATATGGTGTGTGTGGGGGTGGTGGTTATTAAAGAGTGGACATAAATACTGTTCAAACTAAATCGGTTTTTTTTTTCTTCCCCAGGGAAAAGACTTCTTTGCTTATCCTAAGAAATAACCAAAGATCAAAATCTAGTAATTAGCTACAAAACAATTTTTTTTTCTGACAGACTAGCTCTGTTGACCAAGTAACTTCAATCTTTCTTCCCAAAGATGCCTAGGAAGTTGAGAATAGTTTTCTTTATACTTTTCCTTTCTTATTTGTCGTAACTTACTGTTTATAGGCTTCCCCGGTGGCCCAGACAGTAAAGGATCGGCCTGCAATGCAGGAGACCTGGGTTCAATCCCTGGGTCTGGAAGATCCCCTGAAAAAGGGAACAGCTGCCCACTCTAGTATCCTTGCCTGGAGAGCTCCACGGACAGAGGAGCCTGACAGACTATAGCCTGTGGGGTCACAGAGTCAGACACAACTGAGTGACTGACACTTTCACTCTTTAAACCTGAAATTAATCCATTCCAAATACAGGGTATAAGTGAATGTATCACTTTTATTAGAGAAAATTTTCTCCATACTTGAAATGCACTAAATCGATGTAATCAGATTGCTTTATATGAGCACATTTGTGTTCAGTAAATATATCTGGTCTCTCTTCAATGACACTGCAATATAATTACTAGGTGCAAAACAAAAGATAGCACAGATCCACATACAGACGCTCACTGTCTTCAGTGATGACAGCATTATTGAGATCTCTCGTGTATGCGTTCTTAAAAGAAACTTTCTCTTTAAAAAGGGGATAGGCAGAAAACATCTCATGGGGAAAACCTGAATGAGGTTAAAGTTTAGCCACAGTATAAATTAAAACAGGCCTGAATATTCAAACCTGAGAAAAGGGGCAGGCATGACGTTGACTACACACCAAGAAAACCGCGATGAGGACCATAGTCAGACGGAACAGTTGCTTTGGACAAATCACAAAACTCAGTCCAAATTACTGTTACCTGATCCCGGGGTTCTCAACTGTAATTACGCATCAGAAACCCCACAAATCTCTTAGATACCTGTGCCAAACTCCCAAAATACTGCTCTACAGAGATGAGGCCTATGTATCTGTAAGTTATAAAAAGCTCAAAAGATTAATGTAGTACACATATTGTTGGTTGCCCACGTTTTTTCCCTTATCTAAATTGATTCTAAAAATGACCCATTCTGCCCTCTTAAATACCTCCCATGTCTCAGAGGAAATGAATTCCACTTCCAGCTACAGTAGACCCAACTGACCTAAGAGTTAGTTATTCCATATCCTTTACCAGTGACTGGCCTGCGGGTGGAACAGGTCTAACTAAACTACTTTAGATCAATGAGACCCAAGCATCTGGTGGCAAATTCCGGGAAAGCTTCTGCATGTTGAGAGAGGGCCCTGAAATCCTCCCTGATTCCTGCACTGCATGTCAATGAAGATGCACACAGCCCCAACTGCTACTGGCAAACATCCAGTGACCACGAGGGCAGCCAGCACTAGATGATGCCAATGCTGCAGCTGAAAACAGCAGGGGGAAGAAAAGCCCAGAGGTTCCTGGTGACCCTCCTAGGGGATCACCAGAGTACAAGCACTGAAGCCCTTTTCATCAGTTAACTTCATGTATAATGATTCAGCAGATTTTCTCACTGTTTAGGTCATTTTAACTTGGACTTTTAATTATCTGCATCTGAAAGCTAACGGGTTACCCCACTGCAGCACCTTTACAATCATGTGTGCTGTGCTTAGTCGGTCGTGTCTAACTCTTTGTGACCCCATGGACTGTAGCCCGCCAGGCTCCTCTATCCCTGGAGGTTCTCCAGGCAAGAATACTGGAGTGGGTTGCCATGCCCTCCTCCAGGGTACTTTCCAACCCAAGAATCAAACCCAGGTCTCCTGCATTGCAGGCTGATTTTTTACCATGTGAGCCACCAGGGAAGCCCTAACAATCTGTATTAAGTAGAAACCACACAAACATGCCTTCATACTAAATCTGTAAATCTGAGATTGATTTATCTTTCCTATTTTAAAAAAGATTAAATCTTTCAAAAACTAATTTACATCTTGTTACACTTTTCCAATATTTGGGCTGAACTGTATTTAAAAGTTTATGCTCACTGCATTCATTTCCTTATTCATTCAAAGTTTTTGCTATAGGCTTTGTCTTGAATGTGCAAGACCATTCGCCGTGCATAGAAGTCCCTGTATTCCTCTGGTAATTCAGCCAGTGTTTTTAAGGCTCTGTCCAAAATTTGTACAGCTCTTGATGCTGCCGTCAGATCTTTGTTTCCATAGGTATCCGTTTTATCATAGCATTCAGATGGAAGGTGCTTCCAAAAGACATTCACTCCCACTCCAAACTCTTCAGAAATTACATTATGGAACCATAAAGCTGAAGAAGTATTAAAAAAAAAAAAGTTAAAAATAAAAGCTACAGTTTAAAAAAAAAAACAAAATGTCAGTGAAATATCACGAATTGCATATAGCCAATTCAAGAAATAAATCTTATAACTAGATTCCTTCGTTAGCACACTCCTAGCTTTTAACAGAATCATTTTAACTTTTATGAATTGCCAACCAATTTAAAGTGTCAATAGCACAACCCTACGTTTAAAACTTCTGAAAGTAGCAATTTTTCCTTTTAACTTGAAAGACACAATAAAGTTCTATTTGTTTTTAGTTCTGTAATTTGGGGCTGTGATTTGTGTTACTTGTTTACACTTCCTGAGTCACACACCACATCAAAAATGTTCATTTTTTATACACAGAACATTTCAATTATTTGAGGAGTATCTTTGACCTTTTCTGACCCAGTACAGTACTTTTGTTCTCAAAGACTTCCTGTTTAAGCTGCATTTGGTTTTCTAACTTGCTTAAAAATCTGCATTCATTGTAGCCTCCCCAGTTTTATATTTCTAATGCAGTTACAATCATCCTATGTAAAGGAACGTTAGTACCTTTACAATATATATATAAAAGTAAAGCAAATATTTTGGTTGTGGAAAAGATGAGTAAACTTCATATAGCTAATTAATATTTTACTTCCACCAGAAAGTTTACATCTTTGTTTTCAATTGAGAATAAATATTTTCAAAACACAGGTGCTAAAGAAATACTAAACCAACACTACACAAAGATGAAATGCTAGTCACATCCAAAAAGTGTTTAATCTTGTGACAGAAAGGAAGATTTATAAGATGCTAAATTTTAGAAATAAACTCATTCTAAGAGTGCTCTAGAAAAAACAAAAGCCTAAAATATTTTGATTTACAAAACTAGGTTCCAAACATGGTTTTAATCTTAACTACTCTTTCTTTCAGAACCTTTTTTTCCTTATTCAATGATAATAGGGAAAAAAGCTAACCATTCTGTTAAATTTAAATCCAAAGATGGGACTTCTGCTCCTATTTCAAAATATCTGCAAATGTTCAGTATTTTTCCTCTTTTAAAATTGTACACAGAATAAGGCAGAACTGCATCACCCTTAACCATGCTCTCAAGATATAAAACCCCCAAATTTAAGTAATGGCAATGGATTTAAAACACAGTGTGCTGTGACTGTTTTCAGTGAAGATTGAGAAGTCAAGGTATTAAGCTTTTATACACAATTATGTAAAGTACACTAAACAGGACAACAGAAAGATTAACAAACTATGGTTTCCTGTCCCCAAGGAATTTATAATCTAGTCCCAAATATGATCATTTTATTATCAATACTTTTAATCTTATCACTCAAGAGGTATTATTATAAACATATCAACTTATATATGAAAAGTAAAACTTTAAGCCAAATTTGTTAATGCACCCCTTAATATTATGATTTTTATAATTTTCAGATATTCAGTTTTGCATAATTACAGATGTTAACTGTATCATTGGTTACTAATAATAACTAATACCTATATACTGTTCAAAGAAATTAAGTGACACTAATTCAGACTGTAGAAAAATAGTGCACAATAGTGTACATCATAGGTATTGCATTATAACATTTGATATTTAATAAAATATTGTTTGGCTTTGAAATATATTTACTATTTCTTCATAATTACTTAAGTGCCAGTTCTAAAACATGTAAATATTTTAGAAACAAAATTATTTTAAAAGTACCATGAGGTACAATTTTTTTGCAGATATATAGTATCTGGCTTAGTATCCTTTAATAAGAGAACTTAAGAGTATAATAATATATTTATAGGTTGTCTTTGAAAAACAAGACTTAATACTGTAAGAATCTGTCTTAGCATACTTTAAACACACACATTTGTATATAAAAAAATCATCTTGTATAGGATAGGATACAGAAAACAAACTTTTGTATTAAAAAAAATCACATAATGGTCAGGTGACTGAGTATAATTATTATAAAAAGCAAGTTACTGAAGTCTAGAAATCTTACCAGGAATGAATAGCACATCTCCAGCTTTAAGGGAACATTCATACCTTCTAGCCTTGGAAAACAGTGGATATTTAGCTAAGTCTGGGTTATCTATGTTCAGTACTTCTGACTTAGAACCTGAAAAGTTCCAAAACAGGATGATATAGATTGAACACAGTTAGCATTTTTTTTTAAATAACCACAAATATAAATTTGAAAATTTATTTTTTTCCTTAACAACTACTTTACCGTATCACACTGTGAGAACAATTACTGTTCTCCTGAAGACAATTTTCAGTGACCTACCCTTTATTTATAACCATTGGCATTCAAATAATATAATCAAGATCTGAAAAGTTCATTATTCATAACCTATCATCTCATGTATACATGTACACAATGAAGAACACAATACAAGACACATATACAAATACAACACAAGAATCATAATTAGGAAGAAGCCCTACAAAGTTTTTCTATGAGAATGAAGACATTAAAAAAAATAAAACTTTAGAAATTTATTCTTAAAAAAAAATAGTACCTGATAAATATAAATATTGGGCATCTCGAGGACTGAACAGAACAACACGCTTTTTTCCTGTCACTTGTATTAAGAAATTATCCATTACCTGAAGGCAAATAAGAACTTATGAAAAAGCATAAAATTCTAATATACAGAATCAATGGTATTCCAAAGTTAACCATAAATCCTATCTTTTAATAAAGCCTGACTCAGATTACCTCAAACTCTTATAGTAATATTCTAATTTAAGAGTGAAAACAGATATGTTACACAACTGTGTCATTATTTCTCCAACACTGCCTTAAAATGGGAAGGATTCGAAGGCCGTCAGAAAACCTGCTCAGAACACATCTGCCTCTGCCTCATCATTATGACAGCAGGTATAGTTACATTTATTTGAGGATCCCTTTGGTAAGTACGACCAACTTCCCTGGTGGCTCAGATGGTAAAGTGTCTGCCTACAATGTGGGAGACCTGGGTTCAATCCCAGGGTCAGGAAAATCCCCTGTAGAAGGAAACGGCAACCCATTCCAGTACTCTTGCCTGGTAGGCTACAGTCCATGGGGTCGCAAAGAGTTGGACACGACTGAGCGACTTCTTCACTTTGCATTTTCACTTTGCTAAGTATGGGTTTCCCAGATGGTACCAGTAGTAAAGAACCTGCCTGCCAGAACAGGACATGTAAGAAATGCTGGTTCGATCCATGGGTTGAGAAGATCCCCTGGAGGAGGGCATGAAGCCCACTTCAGTATTCTTGCCTGGAGAATCCCATGGCCAGAGGAGCCTGGAGGGCTACAGTCCATAGGGTCACAAAGAATTGGACCCAACCGAAGTGACTTAGCACGCACACATGTATGGTGTAAGTATCTATTTTACTTACTATCAAGGAACACTGTAAGGCCGACATTAGATAGGATGAGAGCACTTAGAAAAACAGGTGTTAAGGGAACACACGGTAGGGCTGCAACTGCGGCCAACCAGAATTTGGTTACAGGAAGATACGCTGATTTCCAAATTACTTCCATGGACCATAACTTGGCAAATAATTTTGACGAACTTAGCAATAATGGAGCAAAGTTGACTTTTCTCATGTTGGTAAGGGTACACAGCATTAGTACAAATTTTGAAAAATCCTAAAGCAGAGCTACAAGGACTTCCCAGGCAATCCAGTTATCAAGACTACATGTTTCCAATGCAGGGGGTGCGGGTTCAATCCCTGGTTGGGAATCTAAGATCCCAAATGCCTCACAGTGCAGCCAAAAATAGAAAGAAAAAAAAAAAAAAAGGCAGAGCTACATTAATTCTCAGCTAAGGAATTAAAATATATACTAAGCAAGACATATTCATGATTATTTACATATCACTTCAACTTAAACATTTCTCCTTTAACGCTGACTTATGTTAAGCTTTAACTATGTAACTAGCATTCCTTTGACTTATGTTTATGTTTAAGAAAAACTTCATAATATTTAAGATAAAACAGATACTACATAAAATTTGTGGATACAGTTAAAAGTATGAGTTATCATTTTCTCACTATATTATTCATGTAACTAAAACCTCAATAGGAAAAGGAGTACGTCAAGGCTGTATAGTGTCACCCTGCTTATTTAACTTATATGCAGAGTACAATGAGAAACGCTGGGCTGGAGGAAGCACAAGCTGGAATCAAGATTGCTGGGAGAAATATCAATAACCTCAGATATGCAGACGACACCACCCTTATGGCAGAAAATGAAGAACTAAAGATCCTCTTGATGAACGTGAAAGAGGAAAGTGGAAAAGTTGGCTCAAAGCTCAACATTCGGAAAACTAAGATCACGGCATCCGGTCCCATCACTTCATCGCAAATAGATGGGGAAATAGTGGAAACAGTGGCTAACTAATATTTTTCTGGGCTCCAAAATCACTGCAGATGGTGATTGCAGCCATGAAATTAAAAGATGCTTAGTCCTTGGAAGGAAAGTTATGACCAACCTAGACAGCATATTAAAAAGCACAGACATCACTTTGCCAACAAAGGTCCGTCTAGTCAAGGCTATGGTTTTTCCAGTAGTCATGTATGGATGTGAGAGTTGGACTATAAAGAAAGCTGAGCGCTGAAGAATTGATGCTTTTGAACTGTGATGTTGGAGAAGACTCTTGAGAGTCCCTTGGACTGCAAGGAGATCCAACCAGTCCATCCTAAAGGAAATCAGTCCTGGGTGTTCATTGGAAGGACTGATGTTGAAGCTGAAACTCCAATACTTTGGCCACCTGATGTGAAGAGCTGACTCATTTGAAAAGACTCTGATGCTGGGAAAGATTGAGGGCAGGAGGAGAAGGGGACAAGAGGATGAGATGGTTGGATGGCATCACTGACTCAATGGACATGGGTTTGGGTGGACTCCAGGAGTTTGTGATGGACAGGGAGGCCTGGTGTGCTGAGGTTCATGGAGTCGCAAAGAGTCGGCCATGACTGAGCGACTGAGCTGAACTGAAAACCTTAAAAATTGTTAAGATCATATTATATCTATCTCATTTAATTATACTGTATCAAAATCCTCCCAAGAGGTCCTCAGCTATAAAACACTATAAAATACACTTCTAAAACTTTATTATAAAGTTTTATATTTAGAACTTTTCAAAATATTCTTTTATCTTTGGAAACCTATCAAGGGGTCGCAGAGTCAGACACAACTGTGCACCTAATGTACACCTAAGGTATCGCTTTAAATTTTCTAAATTTCTCTACCCAACACCAAACTACACACAAAACTAGACTTTTAATGTTTTTTAGCTATTTATTTGCATGTGTTTGCACATGTGTGTGCATGCTCAGTTGTGTCCAGCTCTGTGACCCCACGGACTGTAGCCCACCAGGCTCCACTGTATATGGAATTTTCCAGGCAAGAATACTGGAGTGGGTTGCCATTCCCTACTCCAGGCAATCCTCCCAGGGATTGAGCCCACATCATTGTGTCTCCTGCATTAGCAGGTGGATTCTTTACTGCTGCGACACCTGGGAAGCCCATGCATATGTTTAAGCAAATAAACTTGTAACACCATAGAATAAATAGTCAAGATCAGTATCTGTACATCTTACTGCTCGATAAATACAGTAGACACTTGACATTCTCAAGGGATATATACCCTGAGACCTCCAGGCATCTCCAAATTTTTACAGTTGGAAATGGCTCTCCACAAACTTCTGCCTTTCTCTCAAAGAATGGTTCCATCTAGTCACATGTATAACTTCAACCTTAACATTTTTTCCACTTTCAGTTTCCCCCCTCATCTGGTGTCCATTTTTCACATGTTAAAAAACAAACAAACAAAAAAAACACTTCAAAAAACTCAGTGTGTGTGTGTGTGTGTGTGTGTGTGTGTGTGTATAAAATGATGAATCAAGAACAAGACCTCAGAGAAATGCAAATGTAAGAAACTACCTAGGCTCTGGCATTAACTATTTACTTCCATACCACTGCATGGCAGAGCCCTGTTTTCAAAGGTTTGCTCATGTTTCAGCAAACTATATGTCAGAGATCTTCAGGGTAGCCTCCTGAAAGTTAACACTGTGAAAGTTCGGTCTATAAATTCTAAAGAGCTACTGTAGTTTTAGACTTCTCATTTTATGTAGCATACATCATAGTGTGTCCAAAGTTGTAACCCTGGTGAGCTGATTCGAAAAACACTGGAAAAGAACTGCTCTTCTTTGAAGAATTTTGGAAACTTAATGTCTCCTTCCAATAAAGGAAACTGCTTTCTGATATCTGCAACATCCTGCATTGAGAGAAATACAATGAGAATTTTAACAATAAACACAATATTGGAATAATGCTTATTTTATCTAAGGCTACCATCAGAGCCCATGATATCATGGAGGAATGAGGCAAAATTCTGCTCACTGTTTTAAAATACTAGGTTGTGACCATAGCCAACACATGATCTTTCAAGTGAAGGAATGACAGACTGTGTAATAAGACATTCAATATCACTATTGTTAACCTTTGTATGCTTCATTAATAGGACAGTCCATCTTACTCTAAGCAAGAATCATACAACTGCCACCTACTTAAATGTAAGAGTCATTAACTTGAATGTTATCAACTATGTAAAGCCTGTGGGTTCTACTCAAAGAGAAGACTAAAAGAAGGTAAAGAAATAACATGCCATAAAGAGAAAAGACAGAATCTGACTTGATCATTTTAGGGACCGCACCTTAACACTGTGTCCATATTAATTTGACTCTGAATACATATATATGAATTATCCAGGTTTTTTCTATCATTTTAGATTGTATTTTATTAGCTGAATGCCATTTGCAAAATAAGTAGAATAGATTCCTTAACTGTGGAAAGATTAGATAACTTTTTACATTCAGAATTCTTACCTTTCTAGGGTCTTCTCCAAGTGATCGGAGGTAGTACTTCTCATCCTTAAACATGCCAAAGAAAAACAACATCAGTATTCACTTAAAAATATTAGAAAGTAAAGACAAAAGGAAATAAATTTGAAAATCTAACCCAATTAAGCCATTTTCAAAAAAAGTTTCATTTTCTTCCCTTTCTACTAATGCTCTCTGGTGGCCATATGAAGAAATGTCTCTATATGTGCTTGTAATAATGACAGGATCCACAAAATATCAGGTGATTCTTTATAAAGGCAACACATGCATACCACATCTAAAGCCACAAAGCTTAATTTAGACTTTATACTCTGAATTATTTACAATCTTAATTAGCATCTTAAGACTTTAAAGAATTCCCATTTTTATAACACACATGATCTCAGAGTATCATTGAGGGCCAACAACAAACTTCGTTAATGTAATGCAAATGTAGAAAATAATATAAAATACTTTATACTTTTAAGACTAATTTTTTAAAAAATCTGAAACATTGTATTTTATAAAGCTAAGCTTTTCCCTAATCATAATTCTCAACCCAAATCAACAGTCAGCTCAGGTATGAATTAGAACTATGTCATCTTATAGTAATAAACTTAAATTGATGCTTTAAAAAACTGTCAATTATAACTTTATTAAGTAGCTCTAACAGGGAACTATTTGAATTATGAAGTATACATTGCCTGCATTTTCTGTAATAATTAGTAAACTGAGCCACATCAGGTCAAACACAGGGACAACCCAACACAAGAAATTCCGCCTCTTTTATACTTACATTGACCATTATAGCACAAACTTCAAAATATATCTCATTTACCATAACAATATATTATACATCTATGTTCATAGATTTTACTTAAATCCAAGATTTACTGATTTTAAATTTTTAACTAGTACCATATCAGATAAGTTTCATAAATTTATTACTAGCTAAACAGGTTCCGGGCTTGCCTGGTGGCTCAGATTCACAAAGAATCTGCCTGCAATTTGGGAGATCCAGGTTTGATCCCTGGGTTGGGACGATCCTCTGAAGAAGGGAATGGCAACCCACTCCAGTATTCTTGCTTGGAGAATTCCACGGACAGAGGCTAAGTCCAGGGGGTCGCAAAGAGTGGGACATGACTAAGCGACTAACACTTTCAGTTTCAAACAGGTTTCAAAGTCTGTTCTTCAAAATTCTAAGAGTTTTCTACCCACCCTAATGTTTCAGGATTTAAAATATAAATTTATGTGGCAGAAACAGATGCACCACAGAACCCTCTTCAAGGAAAGATGCACTAATTGCGAGAAGTGTGATGAGCTTACAGCTGCCAGGCGTTAACTCCTTCAGGTCTGCCTCACCCTCTGACTGAAGGTCATGCTCTTTCTAGGGAAGCCTCAACCAGTGACTAAGCAAGATGGTAAAAGGCCTAGACCCTGCACCCTGGAGAGGACTCCCCCAGGAAGTAGTCTTTGCTCAGAGCTCCACACGGAGCTGGCAGAGAGGTGGTCAGCTCTGGATCACTGCCTGGTGGCACCCTCTACCCAAATCCTCTCCTTTTCTTTCACAGGTATTTTCCCCAGTAATAATGGGCTTCCCTGGTGGCTCAGAGGTTAAGGCATCTGCCTACAATGCGGGAGACCCGGGTTTGATCCCTGGGTCGGGAAGATTCCCCTGCAGAAGGAAATGGCAACCCACTCCAGTATTCTTGCCTGGAGAATCCCATGGAGGGAGGAGCCTGGTAGGCTACAGTCCACAGGGTCACAACTTCACTTTCACTTTTCACTTTCACTTTCCCAATAAGTCTTTTGTAGTCCTAATTTCATCACAGTATGTGTTTCCCAGAGAACTGAACTAACAGTCCAATTCATCTTACACATCACCCTAACTTTTAGACTTTAATACCGTTACCTTGTCCCTATTTCCTTTATTTCACTTGACATTTCATGGCTATTTAAATCTGTGCCACTACTTACCCTTGGACAGGAAAGTACCAAAGTGCAGCTGAACATACATGTTAAAGCATGACTGTAAAGCTAAAAAACATTTTTCAGGTATAGCTAATGGAATCATTTTGTAGATATTCTAGTCATACAATTAGAATAAGACATCTGGGATTTGTAGGGATAAAACATCACGTGATGAAAGAACAGAGAAAATGCAATCCATTTTACCACCAAACTGACCATCAGCCCAGCTAATGCAGATGCAGACAACAGCTTTCCTCAAAGCTTAAAAAGCAGTTTATTTTTCAAATACGCTTTTGAGATAATACAGTAAACTTTTTAAAAAATGTATTTATAAAAGCCTCAATGTCTCAAGATATTTAAATTCTATTTTGCATTATTTTAAGCTGGATTATTATGTAAATAAGTAGAATTCTTCTGCATATTATCCTGAACAAATGTTATAGCAAATACACACAACAGAAATCACATTAATGGCAATTAAAAAATACAGAAATAGTCTTATAGATATGAAAACAAAGTTCTCCTTTTTAGCATCTGAACTTGGCATATCAGACCAAAGCATTTTCAGAGGAGGTAGTATTAATAACTAACATTTAGTGAGTGATTCCTGTCAAGCACTGTGCTGAATACATATTTTATTGAGTTAACTGTCACAAAAAACTTATGAAATAGGTAGTATTACTGTTCCTATTTTACAGATGAGAATACCGAAACAGAGAAAGGTAATGAGGACCAGGTTTGAGATCTAATAAATAGCACAGCTAGGATATACGGAAAGCTATAGTTCTCATATATCTAACATTCTTTTATAAGAAAATAATTTAGTGATTACATATTAATGTTTTCCTAAGAAAATGTGTTAAAAACAATTACCTCTGAAATAAAGAATTCCGTATGCTTTTCTTCAGCTGCCCTTTGTACCAACTTGTCAAAAGGTAAAGTTCTGAAATAAACACAAAAGAATCCTTGGACTTAATAAAAATAAACTAGTAATACTCTAGCCACCACACACACACACACACACATACACACACTACTTGCTAGAGTTTGATATAATCTTCTGTTTTACAACACAGTATCATAATTTTTATTATAACCTATTATGTGGAATTCTAAGTTTTCAAACTTCATTTAGAGTTGAGCTTATTTGACTTAGGTTGTTGGAAATTTTGCTTTCAAAAATTAAAGATTTTTAGATCTACAGTACAGAGGGACCCTTCTCATATGTCAACCTACTCCTACTCCAAGTTGTTGTTAGAAAAATGTTTCTGGTTTTATGGTATATATGGAAATATACAAACTTGCAAGCTTTTACTGCTACTAATTTTCAAGTTTCATGGCAAAACAAGTCTCGGGATGAATGGGGCAAACTACTAATGCTACTGCAGAAGAGATAACAAGCAAATGGTCCCATGAAGACAAGCCCCTCCCCTTCTCACCAACCTGCCTGCCTTCTGGCACGACCAAACAAAACTGCTCTCACCCTTCTACACCCCATTCTATCATTTCAGGCTTCTGAGTATTAGCCCAAGGATTCCAGTGAAGTGATCAAATTTTATTCCGAAATATTTCTGCCCAAAGGCCCATCTCCTTCCATCCTGGTAAACAGGATTGAACACTGTAGAAGCAAAGTTTGTTTCCTTTACCTCACTCTTTTGAGTCTGAGGGTTACCTTTTCTGAGTGATATCCTATCTGTTCAATCTTCTAGAATCAAAAGTACTGCCCACTACCTGAAGACAATACCTTATCAGAGACATCAAACACAGACAATGACATCATCAAAGGCATCTGGATCCCTACACTCTAGCCTCCAACACCTCTGATTAGGAGTTGTAATCTTTTGCTCTTACTAATAAATATCTTTCCACTTGAACTCTATAACAGGGAAGTAAGATTTCCTTGTCAGATGATGACCATGCAATGCTTTCCTTGAAATATAGTGAGTTAAGATAAATGTGGAATGTCAGCTGTTAGATAGATAACACTGTTTACTGAAAAGAAAAAGACCCTCTGAGAATTCCCTGGAGATCTAGCGGTTAAAACTGTGCTCCCAATGCAGGGGGCATAGGTGTTATCCTTGGTCAGGGAACTAAGATTACACATGCCAGGCATCTCAGCAAAGTGAAAGTAAAAGTCACTCAGTCATGTCTTGACTCTTTGTGACCCCATGGGCTATACAGCCCATGGAATTCTCCAGGCCAGAATACTGGAGTGGGTAGCCTTTCCCTTCTCCAGGGGATCTTCCCAACCCAGGGAATGAACCCATGTCTCCTGCATTGCAGGCAGATTCTTTACCAGCTGAGCCACAAGGGAAGCAAATCTCGGCCAAAAAACAATTATTTACTATGTCTGGACTAGAAGGATGGTGAGTCAACTCTTAATTGTTGGGAAGCAGAGGGCGTGGCTTCCCTGGGTGCAGTATAACTCAGTAATTGAGCACGTCCCTTGGAGGAGCTGAGAAACTAAGGTCATAGTCATCTTACGCCACAGGTGTCTGTGGACAATGCAGCTTAACTAAGCTAGGGGATCTCTGTATCCACCTCTAATCTTGTTCCCTTACAAGGAAGCTGTCACTGAGTGAGCCAAAAATGGCTTCTGGATTGGCCTAAGGACTCTACTGATACTGCTAGGATGCTATTTCCTGCCTTGTACCTCTTTGCAAAGCTAAGCCAATCTGATGCCAGATTCTGGACCAGCAGGTGCCAGTTTGAATTTGAGGACACTACTGATAATTATGTACAGTGGACACTGCAGGAGAGAAGAAAGAAGGTTGTCATCTACTCAGACCAATTTACTACTATAGTTTCTGGCTAATAATATCAACAAATTTATTTGTTCAATGTTTTCCATCTCTGATCTCACTATATACTCTTCATTTCTACCAAAGCATCTTTTGAAGAGTTTGGAAATAATACAGAAGCCTCTGCAGGCCAGAACTACCTCTGTAACTGGTGCAGTTGCTAAGGTCTTAGAGAGAACCTAAGACCTTTACAAGCACAGGCCAGGCAGAGTAGTTCAGTCCAAAGCAGAACTTGGGTGGCCCCAGCAACCTTCTCCTGTAGTAGTACCATCCAAGCCTCTACAGAAGCTAAGCTGAGAGGGGGAAACAGGCGTATCAGTGGGGAAGGTCCTTGGCCTTGAGGTCTCATCTATCCTACACATGTTTCAGTAAGAAGAGCACCTGCTATACGACACTCCACTGTCTGGACTGACTTACAGACCAGCAAGTGAGGGAGTATCCAAGAGGGATTAGGACTGTTAGGACTCTGTGGAGTCAGGAAAATTTGGGAATAAGTCTTGGTTCCATCATTTCAAGCTATATTTACAATCTCGAGTAAATTATTTAACATTTTTAAGCTTCCGTTTTCTCATCTGTATAATTATCAGTTAAAAAATCTACCTTATAGACATTTAAATGAGTAATATAATCTAGGATGCACAGTACCTGATATATAAGAAATGTTCAATAAAAGACAGATGGTGGGGGGTAACAATAATGGTAAATAACGTAGCAAGCAAGCAGTTAACAACATTCAGGAAAAGAAAAAAAAAAAACCCTTACTATTCTGTTCCCCATTTTGGAAAGGTTTCATTCCAAGATCAGGAATGATGAAAGTGTAACAAACAACAAGAGCAGGATGACAGGAGTCAGACGATGTGGATGTGATAGGCAGAAGCAGCAAAGCAAAGCTCATGTAAGACTCAGACTTGGAAAAAAAAACCTATGGACAGAACACCAACAGTATCCTTTCAAGGCTCTTCATTTTTACATATATGGATTCTTGAAGAACCGTAAGAGCTACCATGAGAACAGAAGTAAAGGCTAAGACTTGGGAACATATTTATCTTCAAGTGTTTAAAAAGCAGAAATGAAACCTTAATGTAAAGTGTTAATAACGAGATACGTGCGTAGGTTTTTTACTTTTCAGCCTCTCTCTTTGGCCTAGATGCCTCCCTTCTTTCCTGTTCCCCAATAACTGCGAAAATGACTACATCTGTTTTCCCTCTCTCTCTAAGCAAATAATCTTGCAACTCTTTAGCAGCTCTAGTGAAAGGCTTAGAGGAGCTGGAATAGGAACTATTACATAATATACATGCTTCAAAAACATGTTTTGAAAAGTTTATAGGACATGACATAACATCAAGGCAATTCAAGACGAAGTTTCAATACCCATTTGTTACAGCACTGGGCTTCCCTGGAAAATAAACATCATTAACTGCAGGCTGAGAAACACTCTTCATTCCAGCACTTTCTTCCACTTTCTTGTTTAATAAAAAATGAAAAGTTCTTACACTTGGAAAAATCTATGGCAATTAAATTCAATTCATGGCCTATTAAAAACCAAAACCGTAACAGCAAATATTCAAAGAATCAAATACCAAGAAATGGTTTGGCAAGCTACTGTATGAACTTGAAAAACTCTAATGAGAAAAGTATGACCCTGGACACTGGAAGCTCTGTTTAGCTCATCTCTAAACTCTGGAAGGAACAGTGAGAGCCACCTTTCTTTAAAAAATCAGTCTTTTGTGAACACAGTTTTTCAATAGACTGGATTTGCTGGGAACTACACATGCTCAGAATTTGAAAATTGTTTTTAAATTTAACATTTTTAGTGAAACTCAAGGGAATAAACTCATGGGAATAAACAGCATAGTAAAACTATAAGATTACAGCATTTAAAGCTTTCAAGTTCAGACATACCACAGCATTCAACTATCTTTTACATTTAAGACATCCCAAAACATAAAACGGCAACCATGAGGGAAATTTAACGTATTTAAGATTATTTTGTCAAAAAAGAAAATTAAGTCATATTTATCCAAGTTGACAAAAGATTATACCAAACATAGCAACCACCTGTCTTCTATTTCTGGAGAGGGAAGGAGAAAAAAAAAACAACAGGAGCTTATACTTAACTAAAAACAATCTGGAAGTAGAAAATCTTACAAAAATAGGGCATTTAAAATTAAAACAGGTTATGAGGGAAAACTTTAGAATTTATAACTCTAGATAACAATTACTGATGTGGGAGGACCAACTAATCAATGAAGCACAAAATGAATCCTGCACATCCAGCTTTAGATGTACTCTAACTCGAGTTACAGAAAATTCTCTGCTCTTTCCATAACTCCAGAGGATATTGGGTATACACTCTATTTTTAAAATAGTCTTTGGAAATGTCTTTGTATAATTATGTAAGCTGAGAATTCTTGTCTTTTAAAAGCCATTCTTTAAAAATTAGTAAGCTATTCCATAATTATATCAAACAAGCCAAGAGAGAAAATGCCATATGGTCTTTGTATAATAGTGCAAAAATATTTTACAGGTTTAAAAAAAGTTACATGTATCCCCAGAGTAAACCTCAGAAGAAAATACCTATATACAAAGTTTTTACTAATGAAGTCCATCTGGGCAACTGCAGCAACATGAATTTTCACCTCTTTCCTCCCTCCGATTTGGCTGAGGTAATCCACTGTCCATTTGCTTGTACACGCTCCCAAATCAATTCCTTCCAACACTAGAGGTTTTCTCTGTGTGGGAAAAATCAACAAAAATTAGGGAAAACCAACAATATATCATGACTTATATTGGGTAATAAAGGGATAAAAACAAATAAGAAATGACTATTGATCCCAAGATGCTCAAAATCAGATCTGCTGACAATTCATGCTGTAACTAAAACAGGAAGAGGAAACCATGTAATATACTTAGAACAAAATTTTAACATTAGCAAAACCAAACCAAACCAAGCAGCAATACTATCATAAGCTTAGAAACAAGAGAAGTTCGAATATTTATTTAAAGCATTTTTATGAGTGTTATATGTAACAAAAAAATACATTTGATTAAAATTTGTACTTTATAGTCAAACATTGTTTGCAACTTTTTATTTTGATAACAATTCTAAACTTATGGAAAAGTTGCAAGAACATTACAAAGAACTCCCATATACCATTTACTCTGAGTCACGAGGTGCTAATTTAACACTTTGCCCCACTTACTTTACCATCTGCTCTCACTCTTGCAATGTGTGTATACAGACATATTAAAGATAATTTAATTTTTTCTAAACTATTTCAGGGTAGTTTTCCAAACTGTCTCTATCATACTCCTTTATCTCTAAAACTTGAGCATATTTTCTGAGAACATTCTTTTATATAACCACAGAATAATTACCAAAATTATATTTAAGTTATAATACTTTTATCTAATTTAGCTTGTATCCAAATTTTGCTAATTGTCTCTGTATTTTTTCCCTACTTCTGAGATACCACACTGCATTTAGTTCCTACACCTCTTTTAATCTGGAACAGTTCCTCAAACTCGTTCTTCTATGACCTAGACATTTTTTGAGGAGTACAGGCTAGTTATCTTATAGAATGTCCTTCAGTGGGAATTTACATGATGTTTCAGCTTATGTGTTTCTGCAAAGAACGTGCCACTCAGTATTGCTGAGTGCAAAAATTGTGATTTAAAAAAAAATCACCTTCTACATGTACTAGTTGGTATTCTAATGTAAGAATTAGCTCTAACTTCTCCATTCATTCTTTTTTTTTTCATTGAGTTACAATCTACTTATACAATTTTGAAGCCAGATTTGGCCAGTAAGAATCCCTTCAAGCTGGCTCCTATGACTTTCTGCCTGAGCACGTCTTACTTTACGGCAAAATAACATAATCCAGTATTCGTTTACTTCTCTGTCCCAGCCCTATAGTTATTTCTTCAAGTAGCTCTGCTATCTTCTAGTGGGGAATGCTGTTTAGAAACAATGATCTGGGTGCTAAATGTGTTCATGACTATTGATGTGTCGTTACATATAGACCTTCTCAGGGGACAGAGCTAGGAAACACATGAAGGTGTGTATATACTCACTCACTCCCCCCACACCAAAATACACACACACACTACATATGGATATGGTTGTATTCCTCTCTCTCAATATGTACTATACATACAAACGCACGCACACACAGTCTTAATGGATGTATGATGAATCATGATACTTCCAATATGGTTACCTAATTCCAAACTTATATGACAACATTTATTTTAATATTTCTTGTTCATATATTTGTAAACTACCCCCTCTCTTCATGAGGAACCTGGTTCCAATCATCCTCAATATTTAATCAGTTGTAGAATCTCAGAATTCACAATAAGTACTTCTACAATTGCTAAGTTATACCACTGTAAAAAATATACAAACTAGAATTCAGCATTGTTTATAGTTCTTTTTGTTTTTAGACTGTCACAGAATCAAAGTATGGGCTTCCCTGGTGGCTCCGATGGTAAAGTGTCTACCTGCAATGCAGGAGACCCATGTTTGATCCCTGGGTCAGGAAGATCCCCTGGAGAAGGAAATGGCTATCCACTCCAGTATTCTTGCCTGGGAAATTCCACAGAAGAGCCTGGCAGGCTCCAGTCCCTGGGATTGCGGAGTCGGACATGACTGAGCAACTAACACATTCCAAATTCATAATCAAAGTACTGTGTTCAAAAGTGACTTAGGTTACTTCTCTCTCCCTTAATTAGATTCACTTCTTATTTTTATATTCTATACTAGAATTTGGGTTTCTTTTTTAATTATTCCTTATCCATGTTAACTTTATTATTACTATTATTTCAGAATATAAAACATTAATGTGATCTCCAAAGTCAGAATTATATAAAAAAGGTCACCGCATCTATACTCACCCATGTTGTAATCACTCAACTCCTAGAGATAACCAGTCTCATTAATGTCTGCCTTATCATCCCATGTTTCTTTCTTGCAAAGGGATCAAAAAACATATAAACTTCCTCATTTTTTTATACAAAACTATCTTATTTATACATTGTCTTTTGTAATTTTTTCTTTTTAATTTAAAATTATATCCTGAAAATCACTGCTATCAGTTCAGATTTTCTCTCATTGTTGAACTTAGCACACTATAGTGCAAATGGACAATTTAATCAGTGTCCTATAGTAGGTTTCTTAGGTTATTTGTAATCATTCTCAAACATAATACTAGATATTTTCATACTGTTGAAGTATATCCCCAGAGTAAATTCCTGAAGAGGAACTACTATATCATAAAGTAAACATATCAACAACTTTGTGAGATATGCCAAATTCCCCTCCATTAGGCTTGTACTACTTGGCATAAAATGTGAGTGCCAGTTTCCTCACAGACTCACAAACAGTGTATTATTGAAGTCTTTTGATTTTATGCCAATATGATACATAAATGGTATCTATTTAAGTGTAACTTTAAATTCTCTTATGAGTAAAGCTTAATGTCTTTTCAAGTGTTTAGAGGCCATTTTTATCTTTTTGTCAACTGTTCACTTTTAAATCAGATTTTTGCCTGCTTCCTCATTAATTTTTAAAAGTTCTTCCCATACATGTGCTTTTACTGACCTTTAATGAAATATATATTGCAATATTTTCCTCCCAGCTGGAATCTGATGTACTCAAATTTTAATCTTTTCTTTATTACACTTGAGTCATAATAAGGAAACCCTGCCATAGACCTAGATTACAAAGAAATTTATCCATGTTTTCCTCTAGTACTTATGTAATTTCTTTTTTTATTTTAGATCTCTGATTCATTTGGAGATTACTTTTGTGTATGGTGTCAGATATAAATCTAATTTTATCATCTTATAAATGACCGTGGAAAATTCTGAAAGAGATAGGAATACCAGATCACCTGACCTGCCTCTTGAGAAATCTATATGCAAGTCAGGAAGAGACAGTTAGAACTGGACATGGAACAACAAACTGGTTCCAAATAGGAAAAGGAGTACATAAAGGCTGTATATTGTCACCCTGCTTATTTAACTTATATGCAGAGTACATCATGAGAAACTCTGGGCTGGAGGGAGCACAAGCTGGAGTCAAGATTGCCAGGAGAGATATCAATAAGCACAGATATGCAGATGACACCACCCTTAGGGCAGAAAGTGAAGAGGAACTAAAAAGTCTCTTGATGAAAGTGAAAGAGGAGAGTGAAAAAGTTGGCTTAAAGCTCAACATTCAGAAAACTAAGATCATGGCATCTGGTCCCAGCACTTATATTACTTTGCCAACAAAGGTCCGTCTGGTCAAGGCTATGGTTTTTCCAGTGGTCATGTATAGATGTGAGAGTTGGACTGTGAAGAAAGCTGAGCGCCAAAGAAAAGATGGTTTTGAACTGTGGTATTGGAGAAGACTCTTGAGAGTCCCTTGTACTGCAAGGAGATCTAACCAGTCCATTGTAAAGGAGATCAGTCCTGGATGTTCACTGGACGGAATGATGCTGAAGCTGAAACTCCAATACTTTGGCCACCTGATGCAAAGAACTGACTCACTGGAAAAGACCCTAATGCTGGGAGGGATTGGAGGCAGGAGGAGAAGGGGTCGACAGAGGATGAGATGGTTATATGACATCACTGACTCAATGGACATGAGTCTGAGTAACTCCGGGAGTTGGTGATGGACAGGGAGGCCTGACGTACTGCAATTCACGGGGTCGCAAAGAGTCGCACATGACTGAGCAACTGAACTGAACTGAACTGAAGTGACTGTGACTATCCAGTTGTCCAAGCACCATTTATTTAAAAGTTCATCTTTGCCCTAGTGATTTAATGTCATGTTCATCACAACCTAAATTTCTATATGAATGGAAATTTACCTAGACTCTGGAGATACATATACAAAGTCAGTCAAGACTTTCTTCTCTATTCCTCTGATCTGTCTATCCATGCAACTGTACCACACTGTTGAATATTAAAACATTTAAAAAAATCCAATAGGACTATATCCCTTTACAGCTTTTCTTTAGAGTTTCTTAAGTAGAAAAGTCTTGTTTTGCAAATTAATTACTGATTTCTGGTTTTATTACACTGTGATCAGTGTTATTTGCAATTTTCCACTTTACAATGTTTAGTGATGCTTTCTTTGTAACAAATTATGTCTTGTCTAGGAAGGCTAAATTACGAAACACATTTTGCTAGCCATCTTACAAAGCATTTCCACATTCATACATCATTTGATGGTCACAATTCTGTCCTGAAGGCATCTTACACTGATGTGTCCTCTGGTGGGGAAGGACAATAACCCATCCAGCCTAACCTCCAAAATAAATTAAGACTTGAGGGGGTTGGGATAAAAAAAAAAAAAGACTTGAATCTTCCCCGTAGGTTTCTAACTCTTAAAAGAAAACTTCATTACTGACTTTTGCAACACTCAGAACTGTAGCTCTATAACCATACTCAGAGATGTAAATATCAAGTAAAATTACTGGGGTAGGGGATTCTTTATCATGAGCAGGCTAATTGTAATCTTATGGGTTTTTTTTTTTTTTAATAGCTGCCCTAACTTATATGCAGAGTACATCATGAGAAAAGCTGGGCTGGAGGAAGCACAAACTGGAATCAAGATTGCTGGGAAAATATCAATAACCTCAGATATGCAGATGACACCCTTATAGCAGAAAGTGAAGAAGAACTAAAGATCCTCTTGATGAAAGTGAAAGAGGAGAGTGGAAAAGTTGGCTTAAAGCTCAACATTCAGAAAACTAAGATCATAGCATCCAGTCCCATCACTTCATGGCAAATAGATGGGGAAACAGTGGCTCCAAAATCACTGCAGATGGTGACTGCAACCATGAAATTAAAAGACGCTTACTCCTTGGAAGAAAAGTTATGACCAACCTAGATAGCATATTAAAAAGCAGAGACATTCCTTTGCCAACAAAGGTCCGTCTAGTCAAGGCTATGGTTTTTCCAGTGGTCATGTATGGATGTGAGAGTTGGACTATAAAGAAAGCTGAGCACCGAAGAATTGATGCTGTTGATCCGTGTTGTTGGAGAAGACTCTTGAGAGTCCCTTGGACTGCAAGGAGATTCAACCAGTCCATCCTAAAGGAAATCAGTCCTGAATGTTCATTGGAAGGACTGATGCCAATACTCTGGTCACCTGATGGGAAGAACTGACTCACTGGAAAAGACCCTGATCCTGGGAAAGATTGAAGGCAGGAAGAGAAGGGACGACAGAGGATGAAATGGTTGGATGGCATCACCGACTCAATGGACATGAGTTTAAATAAGCTCCAGGAGTTGGTGATGGACAGGGAGGCCTCGAGTGCTGCAGTCTATGGGGTCACAAAGAGTTGGACATGACTGAGAAACTGAATTGAACTGAAAACATGTACCAGTGTAATTTCTATTATTAGTAGGAGAAAACCTACATTGTGACCTGAATTGATATGGGATAAGAATTTGATAAAATTCAAAAGAGCATTCATGAGGAAAAAAAATTTTTTAATTTCTTTACAAACTAGAAAGAGAAAGGAATGTCCTGAATATAACAAAAGCTCTAGTCAAACTAATAATGCAAATCTTGTTCTCAGTTGTGAAATATTAACACATGCTCTTTAAAATCAGGAATAACAAAAGAACACACACCTGTTCTTAGCCATGTACTGGAAATCTGACCAGTGTACTAAGGCAAGGATGATACAGGTTCAAAACAGAAGGAAACCAAACTGTCATTATATGCAAATATTAAGTTCTTCATAGAAAACCTCCAATTATCTGTAAACTCTTAGAATTAACATAAGACTTTAGTAAGTTTGTTAGACATAAAATTAATATACGGGTCAAGTGCATTTCTACATACCAAGAAAAAAAAGTTAGGAAATGCAATTTGTGAAAATATCTTTTGCAATAGTAACAACAAAATAAGGTACCAAGGAATAAACTTAATAAAAGATATACAAGGCCTTTTTGGAGAAAGTTATAAAACTTTGGTGGGAGGCATTAAATATGACCAAAATAAACAGAATGACAAAATTTTTCTATGATAGGAAGATTGAATAGCTTCAAGATCTCATTTCTATCCAAACTGTTATATAGATTCAATGAATTCCAATAAAAATCTCAAGAAGATATGCTGTGGAACTTTATGATGCAGAATTCTAAAAGGGCCAAGAATAAGTGAAAAGATGAGCCTGTTCCTCCAGATTAAAGACATATCATAAAGCTTCAGTGATTAGGGTGGTGTGTTACTAATACAAGGATGAAAAACAGACCAACAGAAAAAAAAAAAATACCCGGAGAGAAAAGGTCCCGGAGGCCGGCTGAGTCGCGAGAACGGCTTGTTCCGAGTGCGGGGCTTGGGGCCGACAGGCGTATGCTGGAGAGCAGAGAAGGGGCGAATTCACCAGAGGTGGCAGTAACAGGCCAGCTCGACTCTCCAGTCTCTTTCTCCGAACCTCGCTGAGGTGGTTTCACACCGACTTACTTTCCATGATGCACCGGCAAGCACAGGGGTGAAAGGTCACAAAAATGGCGCTGACCGTCTGTCTTTTACCCCGCTTGCTACTTTCTCGGCCTCTACCGGCCTGGGCCGCCCGCCTCCGGACTCCCGGTTCGGCCGAGGTGAAGCCCCCATTGTCTGGACGTTGCTGCTTCTGCCGCCGCCGCCTTTGCTCGGGAGCAGCCCCATTTCCTCGAGTCTCTTGGGCCTCCGCGGCCTTGGCCCTGTCTGCTCGGGGTCCTCAGCGTCCCCTGCTCAGCCCCCTGGAAGTCGCCGCAAGCCTCCCCACTTTCCCTTCCCACCGCCGACGAACCTACAGCACCGAGGAGCAGCCCCAGCAGCGTCAGAAAACCAAAATGATCATTCTGGGGTTCTCCAACCCCATCAACTGGGTTCGGACTCGAATTTACTCCTTCCTTATCTGGGCCTATTTCGACCAAGAGTTCAGCATCACAGAGTTCTCAGAAGGAGCGAAACAGGTTGGTTTATTTCTCTAGGAATAACCTATCCACCTCTCATGAATTCAGCAGTTAAGAGACGCGAAAGTGTTTAGCAGTGAGGTTTCCACTGGGTCGCAAATGATCAAATGTGGGTAGTGACCCAAATACAGAGCCCTCAGGTCACTTGCCGTAAACTAAGCTTCTACTTGTTTGTTTGCAATGTCTCCGAGGAATAGGGTATTGATTGAGACACCAATTTGAAGTCCCTTAATTACTTTTTTCTGCTCTCTGCAGGTTTTGAATCAGATAGAAATGGATTCAAAGTCTATTTCTGACACTTAAAAGCTCCATAGCTTTACTTCTTCTGAAATGTGATTTTTCTGCAGAATGAAAAGACGATACTGATTATATGCTGGCATTGATATATTCTAATTTTTTTCAGTTTATTTCTATAAACAGCCATTTATACTTAACTTACGTGATCTGTCAATTATAAACTAAATGTTTTCAACTTTATATAATCAGTGTCATTATTAACTCGTGCTTTTTGCTTCCCTGAGTCAATTCTTGACTAATCTGTGTTTTTACAAAAAAAATTTAAAAGCAAAGAGCAAGCGTAGTTAATGGTATTATAAGGGATAAACCTCAGTTCCTGTCAGTTTTCAAAATTTTTGTTTGTGTAGAGGTTGATGAGCTTGATACTACTGTCCTTCAGGATTCCTGCAGATGACTTGTGAGCTTGTCTACCTCCTGCTCATTTATGCGTCAATAAGGAATGGAAGTCATCCCCCCATGGACAGGACAGGAATCAAACCTAAGTCCCTACTTCCTTTGCCCACAAAGGAGCATGGAACACTTTTTAGTCACTCTTTATCCTAAAGGTCCTCCAGCTGTGAGCTATTTTAGCCTCCATCCTTGCTATTAAGTAGTATTTGCATCCATTCATCAGACAGTCTGTATGCAGTTTTGCCTCATCTAAATCAATTTTTGTGCATTTAGCCATTCTGATTTCCGAAGAGAATGTTAGGTCATCCATGGCAAATATTTAGTGATTCCATTAAACCAGTGGTTGCTTAACATAACCTTTCAGATCAAGCAAACCAGTTTTTCAACACCTACAGTTTAAAAGGACATGGCTGAAAAGTCTTCCTACATAGATCTCATAAGGCAACTCTTCCTTCTTTTGCATAGATGTAATTCTAGGGCTTGGGAATAAGCTGGTGCATAAACATTGGCTAGATTATCTACTCTCATGAGCTCAACTTGCCCTTTAACTTCCCAACTATAGAATATTATCTTGGGGTGTGAATATCAAGCTGTCAGTTAGATCATGTTCATTAACATTTTTCTTTTTCAGTCATGGAACATGAAAGACACCTTCATGCTCGTTATTCTAGTCTAATTCTCTTTTACAGATGATAAAAATCAAGTCTAAAAAAGTCAAATGATTAACTCAAGGATGCATAGCTAGCAACTGCTGAGGTACATTGCTCTGTGACCCACTCTACAAGCATTCTTGGTTCTCCAGAGTTACTAGAAATTGACATGGTTAAGTATAATCTAGGCAAGCTTTTTAAAAAATTTTTATAATTTAAAATTTTTTTCTCAAAGTAGAATTGTAATATTGTTACAGATATACAGTGTTACAGATGTACAGTGTAGTGATTCATAATTTTTAAAGATTATACTCCATTTATAGTTACAAAATATTGGCTATATTCCCTGTGTTATACAATACAGCCTGTAGCTTATTTTAAACCAATCTAGGCAAGCTTTTATTCATCATGTGAGCCAGAGGAATAGGTGGTCCAATGATATATAGTCCTTAAACAGCTTTATTTGTGCCACAAACTTTACTTCCATTGATAAGTACATATGATATTATCCCTGTTACTGCCATCAAACCACATTAACCATTTACTGTCTGTTTTCCAGTGTCTTTACATATTTTGGCCTTTTCTATGAAAGAAAAAGCTATTTTCCAGAAGCCTGTTGTGTATGTGCGTGCTACATCACTTCAGTCGTGTGCGACTCTTTGTGACCCTATGAACTATAACTCACCAGGCTCCTCTGTCCATGGGAATCTCCAGACAGGATTACTGGAGTGGGCTGCCATGCCCCGCTCCAGTAATCTTCCCGACCCAGGGATCAAGCGCGTACCTCTTGTGGCTCCTGCATTACAGGCAGATTCTTTACCACTAAGCCACCAAGGAAGCCCCTTGCTTAGGTTAGAAAGTCTTATATCATCAAAGCCTTATCAGGGCAGCCTCCTAATGGGATGTTATTACCTTACAGGATAATTTGCTCAGGTTTGATCATTGGCCACAGAAACTAGAGTATCATAGTTAGATTTCAACATGATTGTTGATGTCTGTTACTTCTTACCAAATTTCACCCATCTTCCACACACAAAGGCTTACTAAAATACATAGGTTGTTTCTGAACCCTGAGAGCATCTAGAATGTTTGCAAGGGATCCTTGAGTCCATTTGGAAAAGTGCTTTTTCTCAAAATTCAACTCCATTATTGTTCAGTTCAGTTGCTCAGTTGTGTCCGACTCTTTGTGACCCCATGTACTGCAGCACACCAGGCCTCCCTGTCCGATTGCCAACTCCCAGAGTTTATTCAAACTCATGTTCATTGAGTCGGTGATGCCATCCAAACATCTTATCCTCTGTCATCCCCTTCTCCTCCTGCCTTCAGTCTTTACCAGCATCAAGGTCTTTTCCATTGAGTCAGTTCTTCATATCAGGTGGCCACAGTATTGGAGTTTCAACTTCAGCATCAGTCCTTCCAATGAATATTCAGGACTGATTTCCTTTAGGATGGACTGGTTAGATCTCCTTGCAGTCCAAGGGACTCTCAAGAGTCTTCTCTGGTGGTGTCATCTGCATATCTGATCTTATTGGTATTTCTCCCGGCAATCTTGATTCCAGCTTGTGCTTCATCCAGCCCAGCATTTCGCATGGTATACTCTGCATGTGAGTTAAATAAGCAGGATGACAATAAACAGCCTTGACGTATTCCTTTTCCTATTTGGAACCAGTCTGTTGTTCCATGTCCAGTTCTGTTGCTTCCTGACCATTGTTGTTAGGGCTGCCATAACAAAATATCTCAGTCTGGGTTGCTTAAACCATAAAACTTGATTTTGTTGCATTTCTGGAAGCTGAAAGTCCTAGAACAAGGTGTTGGTAAGTTTGGTTTCTTCTGTGGCCTCTGTCCTTTGCTTGTAGATGACCGTTTTCTTTCTGTGTCCTCGCCTGTTTTTTACCCCTGTGTTCATGTGTCCTGGTATCTCTGTGTGTGTCCACATTTCCTCTTGTAAGCACACCAGTCAAATTGGACTAGGGCCCACCCTTATTTGACATCATCACCTCTTTAAAAATCCTGTCTCCAAATATAGCTACCTTCTGAGGTACTGGGAGTTAGGGCTTCAATGTATGAATTTGGAAAACCCAATTCAGCCCAGAACAGTTATGAGAGTTGTCTGTCTGACACACCTTTGCATCCTCTTTCTCTTTCTAGTTCTTCAAATTTCTTCTTAGATGGTTCTTCCTTTAGGAAGCCCCCTTACTGTCCGCCCAGATAGTGTAAGTTCTCACCTGTATTCTCCCAAAATCATCCTGTTCTTATTCCTGTCATAATTCTCGAATTTGTCCATTTTCTCTGCTCTCTCCTCAAGTAGACAGGAAGCTCCTTGAAAACAGGTAGAGTCTTAATGCACAGCTCTGTTCCTCATTGCTAGTAGTGTGGGGGATTGCAGTTGACTGTCTCCCACTTTAAAATGGGATCTTATACTTTAAAGTTGAGGTCTACTGCATTAGACTGTGCAAACTCATTCTCTTTTCTCCCACTTTACCAATGCCATATCTGTCTTAGACCTATCTGAAGAGTTGGCTCAGACTGTAGAGAATCTGCCCACAGTGCGGGAGACCCTCATTCAATCCCTGGGTCAGGAAGATCCCCTGAAGAAAGGAATGGCAGTCCACTCCAGTATTCCTGCCTGGAGAATTCTATGGAAAGAGGAGCCTGGCAGCGTACAGTCCATGAAATATCAAAGGGTTGGACAGGACTGAGCAGCTAACACTTTCACTTTCACTATCTATCTTAGTGAGATTCAACTGCAGCCCAGATCTCCAGACTCCCAGTACCATTTAGGTTGTACTGCTATGTATTCAAGATTTAGAGGAGGGTCATATGACAGTCAGGATGGCTGATTACTTACTTCATCATTATTTTAAAAGGGACTATATAGAAGATTTTTTTTATTGAGAATCTAGTATGTACACCACACACTATCTCTTCTCAGGTCCTTGGAGTGGATACATCATTTGCAATCTGCCCACTTACTACTGTGCATGTGGAAAGGCTGTTAAAAAAGTCAACCAACTTTGAAGGAGTCATGCCTAACCATTGATATCTTAATGTTGACAGTGTTTATTGCCTTTATCATAAAATAGTCTTTGTTATACTTAGCCACTGAAGTATGAGCATTGTACATTGTATAGTATTTCGCATGGTATCTTAAAATAATAATCACCACCCTTCCCCCACTTTTCTTTTTTTTTTAAGGCTTTTGCTCATGTGTCCAAATTGCTGTCACAGTGTAAGTTTGATCTATTGGAAGAACTTGTCGCCAAAGAGGTAACGTATACTTTAATTTTCCTTTAGAAATAAATATTAACATGTATTATTGTCTTTCATTAGAATGATATGCATTGTCCTTATTTATGCTTAAAATAACATGTATGCTGTCACCCAAAGTAGAGTCCCTCTATTTTGCCTTTGGAGTACTAGGGGTCTTAAAAAGCATAGAATGACTTGCTACTTAAGGCATAAGTGAGTATGATGTCTTTCAATTCTTACATAGAATGTTCCATTAGGAATTATCTAACTGAAGAATCAGATGCCTCTCAGCCTTGCTTTTGAAAGTGAATACGTATGGCTGTAAAATTAAAAATAGTTTTACAAAATACACTCCATGAAGAATTCACTCTACTTTTTGAAAGGCTTTTGACAGTTCAGCAAGTGAACTCTGGTTTGCTTTTTTCCATACTTAGACTCTACATGTATTGAAAGAAAAGGTTACTTCACTACCTGACAACCATAAAAATGCCCTTGCTGCTGACATAGATGAAATTGTGTACACATCAACAGGAGACATCTCCATTTACTATGATGAGAAAGGTAATCCTGGAGCATAGGCAACTTTAAATGGCCCACAGTTGTCCAGATAAGCTCAATTAGTGACAGATCCTGGAATAGTAGCATTTTGTTGGTATAAGTGGCTATTTATAGAATTGCAGAGAAAATAATTTATTCATTCTTTAAAGACCTGGCTCTGGAAGACTTGGGGTATGGTAATAGTTTTGAATGCCTTTCTCTCTAGAAGTTTGGGATGGTCATGTACACACTGCTGTTTTAAAGTGGGATAACCAACAAGGCCCTCCTGTTTGGCGCCTGGAACTCCCCTCGGTGGTATGCGGCAGCCTGGTTGGGACGGGGTGTGGGGAGAACGGATACATGTGTAGTGTGGGTGAGTCCCTTTGCTGTTCCCTGGAAACTGTCACAGCACTGGCTGTTAATCAGCTATACCCCATGACACAATAAAAAGATTAATCAAAGAAAAGAACTTTTCCCTAATGCCGTCTGATTCATAGAAGAGAACATTGTCACTTAAGTTAATGAAAATTGCCCAAGACAAGCTGCTCCTATGTCAAAATGAAAATATTTGTGCTTCAGATTTCCTAACTTAAACAATGCAGTATTTTAAGTCTCCAGCTGTATGTTAAGTAGGAGTAAAAAGTAAAAGAAAAAGTAAATACGGCTAGCTAAACACTGTTTTAAGAGTAACATTAACTCAGAACTCCCAGTTGGATTTATTTGGAGACAATGAAAATAACTGAGAGGAACTTTGGCGTTTATCTTGTTCTTTTCCTTGTCCTATTTTCCCAAGAACATTCCTGAAAACTCAGTGACTTACTTATTCCTTCTACAAATTTACACATGTGTACTATGTGCTAGGCACATAGGAAATCTTGCCTTTGCTCACACACTTGGCAAGGCGGTTCTGATTGAGGACTCTTTAACAGTGAAAATATTTTCACATACATGTTAATTTGAAACGTTCAGAAAGGTACTTTTAATGATAAATATTTTCTTCTCCCTAATATTTCAAATTGCATCTTAGCCCCATGGTCACTGCCTGGTTTTTGCACAGGACATTCTCATAATCACTGGGTGTAGTAAAGTGAATTAGAGTAGAAGTGTTTTTTCTCTCTGGCAGTTGGGGATAAGTTAATAACTTAGCACCAAAACAATGTGTTTTTCCCCCTACTCTCTTTTGGCTTGACAATAGATACCTGTTACCATAATTTTAGAAAATCCCACAAATGGGAAGAATTCACATAGTACGCTTGGGAAATAAGTACTTCCTCAGCAAATAGTAGCTCTTGTATTGTGTTGCAGAGAGGAAGGCAAATACTGGTAAACCCCAAGAAATTTTTCTAAAAAATAGAAGGTGTCAATATGGGTACCTTAAGTTAGAATGAGCACAAAATTTGATCTGTAATGACTGTATAATTACTGCCAATTGCTGACTTCATTTTGGATATAATGCTGATAGATTACTGTGATTTGTGTCTGTATGTGTGTATGTTTTTTCTCTAAGGAAGGAAGTTTGTTAACATCCTGACGTGCTTTTGGTATCTAACCAGTGCCAGCATCCCCAGTGAAGCCATAAGCGGGGCCCGTGTGTTCCAGGTTAAGTTGGGGGATCAGAACGTGGAAACTAAACAGCTTCTTAGTGCAAGCTATGAGTAAGTCTGATCACATTTCCTCGTTTCCTTTCTTTAGAAAATGGAAGGTAGTATGAAGATATGAGAACTAAAGGGAGCTTTCGGAAGAACAAATTGAAATTTGACAGGTGTCTGTGACGAGAGATACTCATACAGACGCACTGGCCACAGAACAGCGTGTTCAGAAATTAGGAAGAGGTCATGTTGCTGAACTTAATTAAACAGTGTTTCAGCTGTCTGTCACTACGTTACAAACCATTCCAAGTTAGTGACATCACACAGCCATTCATTTCGCTGCTTTTCCGCTGCTCTGGAATTTTGGAAAGGCTCAGCTGTGGGGCTTTCTCTGCTCTGCCCAGCATCAGCTGGGGTGGCAGGGGCCAGGGATCCGTTTCCACAGTGGGCTTCCTCGTTCACAGGGCGGCACCAGGATGCTCCTTGGCTTCTCCACGTAATGTCTCGTTCTCCAAGGCCTCTCTTCGTGGCTTGGGCTTGTGGAGGTGTTAAGATGGTTACGTGTTCTACATGGTGGTTGGCTTCCAAAAGACAGAAGGTGCTAGACATAGCCCTCCAGTAAAGGGCTATGCCCAGGGTTGGAACAGCATCACTTCTGCCATGGTTTGCTGGTCCAAACAGTCACAGGGTCTGCACAGTGAAGGACATGGAGATACTCCACCTCTTCATGGGGCAGCAGCAAGGTCACGTTGCAGAAGAGCATGTGAAATGTAGTTATGACCATCTTTGGAAAATAAAATATGCTGTAATTGGCACATGGACCATCCACTCACTAGATAATTATTGACCATCTCCTCTTTACCAGGTACTCTGGTGGGAGTTCAGACACAGAATTGAAGGGTTCCTGCCCTTACGGAGATACTGCCTAATGGGAGGTTAGCAATCTATTTAAAAGAGACACTGTAGTGTATTATTGTGCAAATAAAATTTGGAACAGTGAATAATTCAAGCAAGTCAGTGGAGATATAGTTTAATATCTGTTTAAAAGAGAATACTTTTATGTCATCAAAGTTATACAAATTTGCTTTAAAACAATGAACAAAACCCCAAAATGACCTAAGAAAGAAAAATATCCTGTTTCACTAAGGTAAAGAGAATTATATCTTCATTTTTTCACTTCTTAAAGGAAATGTGCTCTTTTTTCATTTCTTTTTCCTGTTTGGAATTTTGCTTTACTTGTAATTACCCAAAATATTCTATATATTTAAGTACTTATTTAATTTAAATCTACTGAATTGTCTCTTTTTAAAGACATCATCTAGAACACTATAATCAACATTAACCTTTGGTTGTTCTGATAGTCCCTACTAAGATCACATGCAGCTCATAAAGACTGCTATTTTCACGAATGAACTTAGTGCCAGCTATGAGTAAATCTAATCACATAACCAACTTCCATGGAAGTGCTGTTTTATCACCATAGTCCAGTTTTTTTCTCCTCATATTAGGCATATATTATAGCTAGTACTTAGCAGAATAACACGTTTCTCTCACAGACTGACAGATATTGGAGTGTGTATAGATCTGTCTGTTAAAAATACTCAGTTGAGAATTTTTGTGGGGATATTTTTTGTGATGAAATTGGTAGATCAAACTTTTGATTTTTATTTACTGTTATCTGTTAGCTTTTTGCCAAAACCTGCCTCAACGATATACTTGAAAATTACATAGTGATCCAGGAAGTTTTTGAACTGATATAGGCTACACATTGTTTATAATGTTTTCCTTAGATTTCAGAGAGAGTTCACACAAGGAGTGAAGCCTGACTGGATCATTGCACGGATTGAACACCCAAAGTTATTAGAATAATTGTTCTTGGAGACATCAGCGTATTGAACTGTTGGCAATTACTGTGAAAGACTAAGGGAGAAAACATTTTCAGAGCAATTGATCTTCACTTAATCAAGTTTGTGGATTACTTTTGTATTATTATAAAATGTTCCTTGTAGTAAATAAGCATGATACAGTAAAGCATTTTCCACAGATTTTCATCACTTTCTGTAGAAGTCAAAGTAAAAAGAATTACAACAGCCCATCACTGGTGTCATATTCAGTGTCATTTCTCATGTTACATGTATATGTATATATACACAAACTAATTTTACAGGTAATAAAGAAGATATTGAAAAAAACTACACATTTCTAAATTCATAGTCCTGAAATATTTATTTGTGGTTAATACACTTATACCAATAATTCAAGTATGTGGAAGATTTATTTTTAAAAAGTCACTGCTGCTATTTGATTACCTCTTTGTTCACTAGCTAGATGAGAAAGAATAGATGGAATTACAGCAGATGGGTCACTGCAGAACTAAACACCAGTGAACCTTATTAAAGCACAAAGAGCAAAATGAAATGAACAGTGCCTTAGTCCCCTATGAAATAACATCAAGTCTTTCTAACATACTTGTATTTGGACTCCTAGAAGATGGGATAAGGGAGACAAAAACAATGTAAAAAATAATGTCTGGAAGTTTTCCTAATTATGAAAATTATAAACCCAGAGATCCAAGAAATTCAACCATTAGGGACACACATAAAGAAAACTAAAGTACATCATAATCAAAGTGTTGAAAACAAGAGAATATTAGAAAAGCAGCTGGAGAAGAAAACAACCACATTCCAGACAGAGAGTGACTGTATTTCTTTTCTCAAACTCTTAAGTTAGAGGCCTTGGCATGGTATCTTTGAAAGAAAAAAATATACCTTTTGACTTAGAATTCCATATTCAGGAAATATATCCTTCAGAAAAGGTGAGAAAAAGTTTTCAGACAAGGAAAAGGTGATAGAATTTGTTGCCAGAAAACCTATTTTATAAGTGTTAGGGGCCAGTGGACAGAATAGAGTTCGAAAATGGACCCATGCATATTGCACAACTGATTTTGACAAAGCTGCCAAGGTTATTCAATGAGAGAAGTCTTAACAAATAGAATAACTATATATTCAAATAGCAAATAACCTCATCTTTTGCCTTACACGATACATAATTTTAGTACAAAATTTAGATTGTGAAATGGATCATAGATTTAACAAAAGCTAGTACTCTAGAAATTCTGGAAAGAAACAGAAATTACTGTCTTGGGATAGAGAAAGATTTCTTAGTGAATTGTGAAAGAAAAAAATTATTAATTGGAATTAAAATTAATGCTTCTGTTCATAGTAGCAAGGAAATGAAAAGTCAGGTCACAGGTTGGGGAAAACTATTTGTAATACATATTATCTAACAAAGGGCCTGTATTTGGAATATATAAATAATGCTTATAACTCAATAATGGAAAATTAGCTTTATACAACTATCATGACTCATCAAACTATAGACTTAAAATGGGTACATCTTACTATATGTAAATTATTATATATTTTAATGCAAGTTATACCTAAACAAAGCTTGCTAAAATATTTAGCAAGAGTAATTTGCAGAAAAATAAACTCAAATGATTAATTTTTTATAAAGTATAAAGCAGCTAATCTATGTTTTATCTAATCTTAGGTGAAACAGAAAATAAGATCAATTAGGCACATAATTGGCAGCCTGGATGGGAGAGGAGTTTGGGGGAGAATGGATGCAAGTGTTTGTATGGCTGAGTCCCTTTGCCATTCACCTGAAACAATCACATTACTAATCAGCTATATCCCAATGCAAAATAAAAAGTTTAAGAAAGGCACATATTACTAAAAAAAAAAAAACACAACCAGTTACACTATCTGTTGTAAGACACATCTCCAGTGGTTTTAAAAATGGATGGGGAGTGTTTAACTTAGAATCAATGAAATACAGTGCTATTTATTGTTTGTGAAAATAGACATAAATTGTAAAACTTTTCTAAAATGCAAGAGATTAATAAGGCACTAAATGCATGATGTATTGTGGCAACTATCTGGGAGGGAAGGGAGTGGAACTTGACTGTAATGTTTTGTTTCTTCAAAAAAAAAAATCTTGATACTCAAACTATGGTCTTTGTGTATGTTTTCTCAATAAAAGGAGCCAGGCATTGGGGGCAATTCCAGTTCTATACTGAAAACAAGAGTAACCTGAAACATATTCTCAGGCCAGAATGCAAGGACACCCTCAAAGCTGACTGAAGTAATGCTAAAAGTTATTTATTACCATTTAACAAACCCAAAATTTAAAAATAACAACAGTTACTTACTTTACCCATACATTTGGGCAGGGTTTGACTTGGTTTGTCTGCTCCATGTATTGTTGACTGAAGTCAGTTGGGGATATTTAGCTGAAGGCCAAGTTGATGCAACATTGCTTTACTTGTGTGTCTGGCTTCTTGGAGATGTTTGGAAAGTGGATGCACTGGGTCACTTTTGGTCTGAGTGATCTTTAAATTTTTTGTTACAAATTATGTTAGATACAGATGAAGTAAATTGGCAGATCTGCTATCCCAGTAAATTTTCCTAGTGGTGTTATTGAATATAGCTGATTTATCCCTATTGTGTTGGGTTGTTTAATCAAAAGATTTTGGTCATATAAGGTTGCATGGTAGGGATTCTAAGGTTTTTGTCTTGATCTCACTAGCTTTTATCCTTACAGATGCTACAATCCAGTTGTTCCTGGTGAGTTCAACGTGTTTCTTGTTTGGGGGTGGGGAGCGGGGTGGGCGTGATGGAATTCTACATATCACTGATACCAGGAAGTTTTTGTCTTTCTTTGGCTTATTTCACATAGCATGATATTCATTCAGGTTGTAGCACATGACAGGATTTCCTTCTTTTCTAAGGCTGAACAATATTCCATTATATAAATATACTACACACACACATATATACACACTATATCTTCATTCATCTGTTAACAGACATTTAATTTGTTTCCATATCTTGATTACTGTTGAATAATGCTGCAGTGAACATGGAAGTACAGATTCCATTTTGAATAATGATTTCATTTTCATCTTCCTTGGATCTGTGTGTCAAGAGGTGGATTGCTCGTCCTATGTTAGTTCTATTTTTAATTTCTTGAGGAGCCTCTATTCTGTTCTCCATAGTGGCTGTACCAAGTTACATCCCCACCAGCAGTGCACAAGAGTTCTCTTTTCTTCACATCCTTGCCAGTTTATTTACTTTTTGACTTTCTGATGATAAGCATCCTCACAGGTGTTAGGCTTTTATTTTTGAGTTTACCTGATGATTAATGATATTGAGCACTTCTTCTAGTGTGTGTTGGCCATTTATGTATCTTTTCTTGAAAAAAATGTCTGTTCAGATCCTTTGCCCAGTTTTAAGTTGAGTTATTTGGGTTTGTTGTTGTTGTTGAGCTGTATGGACTCTGTGTATTTTGAATATGAATCCCCGTCAGATGTGTGGTTGACAAATATTTTCCCCCGTTCCACAAGTTGCATTGGTGATTGTCTCCTTTACTGTGTGGAAGCATTTTAGTTTGCTCTACTCCCACTTAATGTTTGCTTTTGTTGCCTTTGCTTTAGTGTCAAATCCAAAAAAAAATCTTTCCCAAGACCACTGTCAGGGAAATTACCCCCATGATTTCTCTAGGAGTTTATGATACACAATTGTATATTTTTGCCTTAGATTCATCAAACATTAACATTTTGTCATCTCTTTTTCCTTTTCTCTCTTTTATACACACATATACACAGTTTTTATCTAAACCATTTGAAAGTAAGTTTCAAACTTCAAATACTTTATCCTAAATATTTCAACATGCATTCCCCACTAAATAACACCATTAGCAATACTTCCATATCATTCAGTATTAAAACAAAATTTAAAATTCTACCAATTGTCTTAAAATTGTCTTTTTTTTGAACTGAGATTTAATCAAGATTCACACATTGTGTTTGGTTATTATGTCTTTTAAGTCTCTTTAAAATTTTTAGGAAATCCTCCATCCTTTTTATGACATTTCAATTTTGAGGAGTCTAGGATAGTAGACATATACCATATGCCATATCCTGAATGTGTTTATTATAGTGTCATTTCTATAACTTGGAATTAGGGCTAAAGACTTAATTAGATTCTTATGTCTATAAGTGATCACATATAAGTGGTTGTACTTCATAATGTAACACATATACAATGTATATATTGGAAAACTCAGCAGTGACCACAGGACTGGAAAAGGTTAGTTTTCATTCCAATCCCAAAGAAAGGCAATGCCGAAGAATATTCACACTACTGCACAATTGCACTTATCTCACATACTAGCAAAGTAGGCTTCAACAGTGAACTGTGAACTTCAGAGGTTCAAGCTGGTTTTAGAAAAGGCAGAGGAACCAGAGATCAAATTGCCAATGTCTGTTGGATCGTTGAAAAAGAAAAGAGTTCCAGAAAAACATCTGCTTTATTGACTATGCCAAAGCTTTTGACTGTGTGGATCACAACAAACTGTGGAAAATTCTGAAAGAGATGGGAATACCAGACCACCTGACCTGCCTCCTGAGAATCCTGTATGCAGGTCAGGAAGCAACAGTTAGAACTGGACATGGAACAACAGACTGATTCCAAATAGGAAAAGGAGTACATCAAGGCTGTATATTGCCACCCTGCTTATTTAACTTATATGCAGAGTACATCATGAGAAACGCTGGGCTGGAGGAAGCACAAGCTGGAGTCAAGATTCCCTGGAGAAATATCAATAACCTCAGATATGCAGNATCACTGACTCAATGGATATGAGTTTGAGTAAACTCTGGGAGTTGGTGATGGACAGGGAGGCCTAGTGTGCTGCAGTCCATGGAGTCGCAAAGAGTTGGACACGACTGAGTGACTGGACTGATCTAAATGAACTTTGGGAGAGCTAAATGTGAATTGTTTGTCTTTATTTCTGTCAACCTTATTTAAAAGAACCCCTCAGCATCACTTTCTATGCCCTAACTCAGATATATTTTGGTTTATAGCACTTATCACATCCAACATTGTGATAAATATTACTTTGTTGACTTTTTACATTGTCTGCCTTTCCAGCTAAGGCAGTAACTTATATCTCGCCCACCGCTATATCCCCGGAGCTCATAATAAATTATGGTACATATTAGAGCTCAGTAAATATTATTTAATAATTGAATAACAAATGATCAAGCCTCACTCCCTACTGCTGCATTTTCTGGTTCACATGACAGGAACATTTTCCCTCTTACTTTTGATTCAATGGCCTAGTAAGCTGGATGTAATTTTTT